TGGCTCTGAGGCCAGCCCCACCCTTTATCCTGAGGGTGATAGGGCTTACTGTACCTCTGACTCTTTTTGTAACCTGACTAGATAGAACCATTGAAAACAGCTGGTTAACCATATCTTACCTGATTGCAGCCATTTCTATGGTCCTAAAAGCTACCTCAGGGGGGTACATGAAAATTAAATGTGATACAGTAGCTTTTCCTTATTCGAAGTTTGACCTTCTAGAGTTTCAATTCCTTAACAGGGTCAAGTGTGGTTTGGAAATATTAAATGGAGCATTCCAGAAATAAATAATCTATGTTTTAAGTTTTGGGCTGAGGATGGTGGAATCTTTTAAAACTCCACCCTAGCCCACCTCCACCTCTGGTGAGTCATCCCTGGATACAGTGTGTCCAGCTGTAAGTTTTGCATGCTTTAGTCACTTGGCTGATATTCGACCCATTGTCAGAACTACAGTGGCCAGGCTGGCACGATGACTCAGCCAGTCAGTAGGTCTTTCCAGGCAGGCCTGACGTCCTGAGCTCAATGCTCGGATGCCATAAAGTTGCAGCAGGAGGGAAGCAGCTCCTGAAAGCTGAGTTTCCTTGAAGAGAGCTGCATGCAGTTCATGTGATTAATCCTTAGCTTAATCACAGTGGCTCCAAAGGGCAGGAACAACGATGATGGAGATGGGATATGCCAGAGAGGCGCTATCAAAGGTTCCTTTAAGGAGAAAAACTAAAGGTGCCACAGGGTATGCCAGGTACAGGGAGATCACATCCACCCATGCAGCTTTTATCCAGCACTGTCACGGTTCCTCTGCTTGAGCTGTTCCTTACTGAGCCTGATCTATAGGCTCTATGGGAATTTATGGAAAGGAAAGAGTGTACGGGGCTGTGCATTGTCTGTGGTTTCAGATGGCCACTGGGGTCCTGGACTATTCCCAACCAATTATGGCTGTATTTCTAATATCCTCCCATCATGCCCAGCCTACAAGGAGAGCGTGCTCCCACTGTGTGCTAGCTGCTGGTCGGTTAGGAGAGCATGGTAGGGTGAAAACTCTGCATTAGCGTAGTACAGAGGCCAGGAGCAGGGCTGTTGTTGGACAGGTCAGGTTTGGGGCATGCAGCTTGGCTTCCTGTGGACTTGAGTTCATTGTTCAGCTTAACCTCTTCTGTAAGAAGAGACTGTGCACCGTACCATGAGACTGTGTTTTCTCACTGTCAGTGTTATAACAGATTCAAGCTGCCTAGAGTTCCTGACACCCTGGACTTAGGTAGCCCTGCACCTGCCAGAACCAGTGACAAATGAAGCAAGCACCTGCTTCTGGGCAGGGCTCAAGGGATGGGCAGTGCCCACTTCCTGTTTCTGAAACACTCTACAGTTATCACTAGGCTGTATCATTTTGGCCTTTATAGGTAGGTCTGTAATGAGCCTATTTTCTGGCAATCATTTCACTGAAAAATAATTTTCATACCTCAGAATCCACCCACGTCAGTGTTCAATGTGGCTTTTAGTGTGTTCAGAGCTGGCTGAACACCTGCTTCATCTCCAAGACTGTGCACTGCTGTTGGCTCATCTCCCACCCAGCACCTTACTCAACTAAACCCATTTTGTCTCTGTGACTTGCTGAGCCACAAGGTTAGTCTGTGGACACAGACAGCACTGGGCCTGCTGACTCCTATCCATGTTGTAGCTGTGCCATCTATCTGCTGTGTAGGAAAGCCATGTTTGGCCTGGCACCACACTAGCATGTGTGGGTTATTTCCATTTCTTGCTTGAGATGGACAATGCTGTCTTGACTCACAAGTGTCCATGTGGATACTTTTCTGTTCCCTTGGGCACCTGTTGGGGGCGGCACTACTGGGTCAAATGTGGTCCTGTGTGGTCACTGATCTCAGGAACCAGCAGCAGGTCTATATTTCTCCATCTTGTCCTCTGCTGTTGCTGCTGACTGACTGTGGTGGGGGGCAGTGCAGTCGGACCGCACCAAGGAGACCTGCAAGTTTTGCCTTGGCACCACTGCGCTTATCTGGGCTCATGTCTGTTGCTTAGTTTTTTTTGTTTGTTTTTGTTTGTTTGTTTGTTTTTGTAAACTGGAAAAGTAGAGTTATCTGGGACATTTCCTTGATTGAGAAGATGCCTTTATCCGATGGCCTGTAGGCAAGTTTATGGGGCATATAACGATTATGAGAGGCTCTACCCCACTGTGGGCAGTGCCACCCCAAGCTGGTGACCCTGGGTTGTATAAGAAAGCAGGCAGAGCAAGCCACAGAGAGCAAGCCTGTAGGTAGCACTTCTCCATGGCCTTTGCTTCAGTTCCTGCCTCCAAGTTCCTATCTTGAGTTCCTGCTCTGACTTCCCTTCATGATGGACTATGAACTTTAAGCGGAAATAAACCATTTCCTCCCCAAGGCTGGCCATGGTGTTTATCACAACATCGGAAAACAAACTGACACACCACCCTAAGGACAAACAGATGGCCCACCTCCTCCTTTCTCAGGCTACAGCTTTCCCAGAGCCCTTAAGAGTCTTCAGGTGTCTGTCCACTCCATCACCCAGTGAACTGCTTTCTCCTGCGTGTTCTGTGTGTAAGCCTCAGGGCTGGGCAGCTGCCTCAGCTCCTGTACTCCTGTATCCCAGGGCCTCTTGATTTACTATTAACCTGCCCATTTTTGGAAGTCTGAACATTCCTGGAATTTAACTTGGGTTCCCTGAAAGGTCAGCCAGCTTGGACCACAGGACACCAAGCACCATACACACCAGGTGTGCTAGAATCATAATTCCTTCACCGATTTAAATGCCAAAAAGCAAATTAGCTCTACTTGAGTCCCCCTACCCCCACCCTTTTTTAAAAAAAAAAATATCCCAATCATTTTCTCTCATATCTCCTGGCTCTCTGCTCAGCTGCAAGTGGAGCTCCCACCCCAGCCAGAGCACCATGGAGCAGAGTAGGGGCAGAGAACCTGGGCCAGGGACAGGAGAAAGGGCTCCTGAGAGGGTGCAACTTGGGAGCCGGTGTGGCCTTGTGAGTGCCTCCTGGTGGATGTGGGCTGCTTTTAGAAGCGCCCTGCTGCTGCCCTCTTGAGGTAAGGCCTTGCCTTCAACCTTCTACCTCAAGAGTGCCCTCTGAAGGTTGTTCCTCCTCAAGACCTAGAAAACCCACCGAGCAAAAAGGTGGAGGCTGCGCTGCCAGGATCTTTTCTAAAGCTGGGGACAGAGACCCTTCACCAGAGTCACTGTGGGGGGCAAACAGGCCTGAACTCTCCTGAAGCCAGGCCCTGTGAGGGTTAAGGTCCCCATACTTGGGGAGCCCCCATATCACCTCTGAATTGGGGACAGCCACTTCCAGGGTGGTTGCAGCTTCTAACTGCCATTTGCTTCATTCATGCCACAGTGGATGTCTTCTGGGTGACAATCACCTAGCCAGCTCAGCTACCCAGAAGAAAGTGATGAAAAAGATTCCTCTGGAGACAAGTTAGGGACTCACCGTGCTATTTAGGGAGGATCCTACAGAGTCACACTTTCCTTGAACGTCCTGACAGGCAGGGCAAGGCTCTCTTGTCCTAGTCATTCTTTTGAAGCCACAGCTTCTACCCCTGCTCAGCAAACCACACCTAATAGTCTACAGAACAGACCAGCTTCCTGTCTATCTTGACAGGGCCAAGACTGGGGCAGCCCTGGGAGGACTTGTTGGATCCACCAGTGCTCTATGTCACCCTATCACTCACACAGCCCTTGTTGGGGTCATGGTTCTCTGATGTGGAACCTGTTGGCCCCAGACCTCACTTACAGATTGTACCTCCAAGCTTTCATGGATCTTGTAGCTCTCATTTGTCCCCATCCTTGCTCCTCCAAGATCTCAGCCTCCAGGGTCACCTGGAATCACTACAGGGGCATCTCTCACTCCCAGGGCAAAAGGTCCCTGAGTCTTGTCCTGGGCCAGTTCTACACAATGACAAGATAATAGCTGTGAATGGGTTAGGGTGCTCTAGGACAAACCACACATACCCTTGCCTTGCTCAGAGGGAAGCCACAACACTCAGAACATGATGGCTGTGTGAGCATGCCAGGCTAGAAGCCCTGGGGTCCTGAACACCAGTTGCCAGACTGCCTTCAAACCTCACTACCTTCTCTTCCTGCCCGAGTTCAACCAGGTTAGAGACATTTTTACTGCCCTCCTTGCAGACAGCACCGGCCTCTGGCTTCCTCTGCAGCCACTCTGACCTTAACACTGAATTAACCCACACATGGCAAGAGGTTGTAGGACTGGGACTGGCTGGGGGGTCAGTCAGAAACGGGGGACTAGCAAGCTAAACTTCTGAAGTAAGAGGGGCTGCAGCAAGTGGGAACAGGCCAGGACCCCAACCTCAGGACCCCCACCAACAGCTGTACTCCTCCTACCTGAGTAGATCCTTCTAAGCCAGTTTGTTCTGGGCCAACAGGCTGCCAGCCTGCTGGGGGCGACAATGCTCCTGCCCCACCCAGCCCCGGGGGGCATGGCTGGGGAGGGGCACACTGGGGGA